AAAGCTATCATGCGCTACCAGCTGCTACTGAGGTCACATGCCAGCACTACCAGAAGCTACCAGAAGTTGGCATGGAGCTACCAGCAACTACCTATGGGGGGACTTGTCTATGACACTACTCTGTCTACTGGCACTACTGAATGCTACTGAACAATGTGGTTTTTCCCTGATGAGTGTACCAATATTCTGGCAGCCAGGATGCTCTCAGAGACCCTCCCTGAGCCCATGAGTGCTATACTCCCCAAGTATGCACCAATACTATTACATGGCCTGGACCAGTGAAATACTGACAGTGGTGATGTCATTGGACATCTAACTACAAGATACAGTATGGATGTGCATATTCTGGAAGAATCAATGGTTCAAAAGGGTTCCATAACTTGTTGAGTGCTATGGGGAATTATTTCAGAAATACTTGAGCCCATTTTCCCAGCACTCGAGGGCCCTATCAGCTTTAGTCAGCTGCTTAATTGACCTTCATCACTGGAATTCTGCCCTGTTCTGTAGCCAGTAAAATCATACTAGGGTATATATAGTTATCTGATTTTTTCTCCAGAATATAGCGCACATAGAAGGGCATAATAAACAAGAGCCCACTGTCTGTGCTGACAATCTGTGAGACAATCAATTTCTGGTTATGGAAAGATTGCATCATCAGCTCAAGTCAACTCTCAAGTCAACTCAAGCTGAACTTGTGGCGCCTCGAGCCTCACAGAGTTAGAAACTTAGTCACCTCAAACTTGCTTAAACTCAGCTTGCGCATCACTACCCCCTTTTCCCTACCGTCTTTCTCTCATTTCGACCTCAATGTGTTACACCCTCAGCCTGTACCCTGTAAACACTTCCCCCAACCTCTGTGTTGTGCCTATAACTGCTATTTACAGCATGGGCACCTCTGTGTCCTGTCCATGTCTCTGCCCCATCAAGTAGAGGGAGACAAGTGTGAATAAAGTTATTTTTTTGCCTAACCTGTAACTTTACTTACGCCCTGCATTTGGCAGGCCAAACTCTACTTAACTTGCCAGAACTTGTTCCCATGCATGGCCAAACTAACTTGGGTACTGCTTACATTTGTACTTATAGACTGAACATAGCATCATCCTTCTGGTGTCTTCTTACTTTGAAATTGGGCATTCCTCAGCCACTTATTGTCAGTTTCATTCATGTACAGAAGGCTTAGTCCTGGATGTTTGGCACTTCTATAGGCATACATGTCAGAGTTCCTGGGACTGCTTATATGAAGAGGAAAAAGTTAGAGCAAAGATTGATTGTGTTTTTGGAGAATTAAAACACTGTATTTTCATGGAAATGTCTGATTGGGGTCTGGGGCTGGCCATGGTGATGAGCATCTATGCACCTCCCAGAAATACTTTTCTGAAGAGTCAAATCTTGGGATGGTTGCCAACTCAAAATTAAATTAGTCTACGATATAAACTTTATATCCATGGAAATAACAGTTGGAATTCTGTTCCAATTCCATTCCAAGTCTGTCTCTGAATATTTCTGGAACCATTCCACTTCAATAAATTGTCTTTCTTGGTACAAGTATCTATTGGTGGGCAGAAACTCATGTTATACTGAGACAAGAAGTCTCCCTGTATATTAAAATTACAACAATGTTATTATATGGAACAGGATCCACAACCATGTTGATGGCATAAGTTAATTTGGTGGTATTTACATAATGCTGACTTTTTGTTAACTTGAGGGCATTTAAGGTCCAAACCGCTGGCTACAAATCTTAAAGCGATGAGCACTTCTGCAGAGAGCAAGACTCTTTCTATAAATGCTTTGTCTGAAATGCTCAAGTCAATCCCAATGTTATCACTATTCAAGCTTAACAAGTTCTTTATATTAAATCTGTCCCTAATCCAGCGGCGACTCAGAGCCTGATATTTTGGGGTGGGGTCTACTGACTACACCGGGTGCTACACTATGCCTTTTATACAAATATACAAGATATATGGAGATAAGAAGAGTTCTGGGGGACGCATGGTCATTTCTTGGCATTCGGTGGGGAGATGCCTTAATAAGGCAGACCGGACCCTCAATTAGTAGTCTCCGGGGTTCTATCTAGTGCATACATGTGCTCCCCTGGCTTTACTCAGCAAGCCAGGGATGCCAACACAGTATGAGCAATAATCATGCAATTCAAAGGTGCTGCGGAGGAACATCTGCTACCCACGCAACCATCTGATCTATCTTTGTCAGGGTTCTAGAACCGACCCGCGGATGCTGCACAGCCACAGACATCGGACCCATGAAATGTACAAGCCTCCCCTAGAACTTCAGTCAAGTCTTTCTGTCACTACCATTTCTGTTGTTCTGCAGGGAGCAACTCCAATAGTGTTCACTTCCTTCCCCTGGAACTGTGTCAGGGGACACAAGTCCATTCAATATCTATCAAACCACAGGAGTGATTATGTAATCAACCGCAGAACTTGAACCATGCTTTCCCATGGTCCACAAATCTTGTGCATCATCTGAACTCGCAATCTCTTGCTTGCCAGGTTGCCTCCCACCAAATCCCTTTGATCACCTCATGCACACATAGTAAATATGTGTCCTGCAGTAGGTCTACAGAACTAATCTGACCCCATTGTGAATCATCATAGCTCTATAAACACATAGTGCCTGCAAGCTTACGGCCGTCTATGGCTAAGTTCACCACTCCAGGGCAGAGGGTGTACTCTAGTGATTATGTCTTACTTAGAGATGTAAGCTTTGTGAAAGCTTGCAAAAATGTGATTTTCATGTGTGTACAGGCACACACCTTATCATCACGATCAGAACCTATCCCTGCATCTGGAAAAATTCCACAGGCTATGGAGCCCTATGTAGTCCGTGTAGTTCGCGTAGCGCTATCGCTTGACCCCTATTATATAGCGCGCTGTAGCTTGCACCCAAAAATATATAGTGTTCTGTAGTCGATATAGCTGTGCGCCATAGGTACATAGTTTCATAGTTTCGTAGACCTGTAGCCTACATATTCATATGTAGCAATACATATTTCTTTAGGATTTGATAATGCTTCATATTCGGGGACAAAAAAAAGGAGAAAAAAAAAATGAATAATATTGCACGGACGCATAACTAATGACTATTCCAGTTGTCACCGCCTCTTCGTACGCCGCCTCGAAGTGGAGGATTTGGTGAAAGTAGAGGCAGTAGCGGTCTTCAGAAGCGGTTGAGATAGAGGACTCCACGCACCACTGGACATGTATGCCGTGAACTCTTCCAGTGACTTCACATGGTCTTTGTACATATGCGATAGGTGTTGGCAGTGAAAGGGACCAGATATCTAGGTAACATGAGTACAAGACAAGCATGAGATAAGTGGGAACATACAGCAGCAAAGAGGCAATGCCTTTCGCGCATGGGTACTGCGGGAAAGGGACTTGAGCTGAGAAATCCAGCCTCAGGCATGGGCCAAACTACTTGCAGGCCAGATGTTGAGGTGGTGCGAGAAACAGCAGGCCGCATGGTGACGACATTTAGGGGAGTAGAGTTGCCACGGGTCTTGAAGGGAGAGCGGTAATGGAGTGGGCTTCAAAGTTTGAAGTGAATGAGAAATCCAAAAATAACGTAGATATGGTCCATCGACGTCTTGGGACTTGTTGCCGAGCGACGAGAGCATTACCAACAGAAAGGTGCAGAAGCTTTGAGGGCTAAAGCTAACAGGAGGCTGGTCGCCTGCAGGCTTGCGCGTATGACTGCATCGTGGTTTGAAGTATTGAAGTCAGAAATTTGCCGAACATGGAGCCTGGACTGGTACTTGCGAGGAAGTGGCAGATGGACGGACAAAGCTTGGCTTGGATGGACAAAGCTTGGCTTGTCATCGACAGTGGCAATCACCAACCTGCTCCGTATTGCGGCTTGTAGTACGAGTGTGGCATGTAAGGAGGAAACAGCAGTGGAGGGGAGAAGGAGCTAGAGCCTGAGGGAGAGGGAGGGTGAGGAGATGGGTGGTGGTGGAAGGAAAGACGCGACATCAAAACGAACCACCTGTCAATGCACGTGATGGTTTCATCGTCTGATACGACAGATGGCGGCCTGCTCAGCTACGGACTTGTCAAATTTTCGCCTTGTTTTCGCCAGCTTCCGTTCGTTTTCCATTCAGGCTGCTTTGGTTTGCAGAACTGGAATTGGCACAAGCTTTTGATTTTCCTGCTGAATCTTCCACACCGATCAACCATACTGGCCGTGCCTGGGTATTTAATCCAATTTAATTCAAGTTGGGCACGTCCCCCCTGACTTCGGAGTGCTTGTTTTTGTAGCGGTTTCCTCATAGTCACCATGGGCGCCGAGGTCAGTAATATAGTGTAACATAGCCGCCACTTTAACTGTGTAGTTCGACATAGTATTGGCCAGGGGCTACAGCCACTACAGCCACTATATAATATATCACCTGAGCTACAGGGTACTATAATGTTCTCCCACCAAGCTATAGCGGCTATGACGGCCTTTCCTAGCCATATAATTACCCACTATGGTCCACAGACATTTTCCTGATGTGAAGTAAAGGATATGTACAATACAGGCCCAGAGTTCCAAAGAGTTGAGAAGAAACAGACAATCCAATGATAGCACCCTTGTTTTGTCTCTCGCAAGCCTTAGATAATGTTTGTCAGAGGGTACAACATGACATTCTCTTTGGGAAGGGTAAACAAGAGTTGCTGTACAAAAAGCCTTGTTCCAGGTTGGTGACAGCTGAAAGCACGGAAAACTCATGAGACAGCAGAACCATGCAATTACCTATTTTCATCCTATTTCTACTGACTTGAACCCAACTTCTGTGTGAAGTGACCCACAACATTCATGATCAGTGATGCCTCCCATTCAGGGTCTTTGTGTTATTTTTCATTGTCTTGTTACAAAGTCTGCTTGTTACACATGTTTACAATAAATCTAGCCTTGGCCGATGTTTTTCCGGTTGTATAAACGGCCAAAAGGGTCCATTCCGCTGGATACAAATGGGAAAAAAGAGCAAAACAAAATCATGCCCCACTAACCGAGTCGAACGATTGACCTCAGCATTTCAGGGTACTCCATAAGCAAACTACGAGTGCTGCGCTCTACCAACTGAGCTAAGGGGGCGCTAACCCAAATCTCAGAAATGTGCATTTTGATCAAGTCGAAGAAATCCTTTACCTAAGCATCCCCGCTCAATTCGTAGATGAGTGTGAAAAGTAACGTGTAACGCTGGGTCTGTTTCATTTCAATTTTGCCCTGTTGTAACGCATAACTCAGGGCTCGTTTCACCGAATTTTCCGTTACAATGTGCCAAAATTTTGTCACAAACCTTCAAGCTTCAAGATCACCGAAAAAAGTACCAAAAAAACCAAGGTCGTTTCAAATTTTTTCTGGCGGTCACGCATAACGCCCGACCTGTTTCTCATTTCAGTTCTACTGGTTCAGTCACGCACTCGAGAGCGTTTCACACTCACGGAAGGGTACAGTAGTCGCGGTTCCGCGACCCAGGCTGGCAGACAAGCCAGCAGTGAACTAGCCACCAGGGGTAGGACGATTCCGTCCGAGTCCCACGACCATACAGACGGTCTGGGAATTGCCAAAGAGTTGCTCAACCCCCCTTGTGAACCTAATGCCCATCCGCGCGCGCGAATTCCGAATGTAGGAGATGGAAGGTTTGAATAGCACTCCCATGGGTAGAAGTGTAAGCTGAACGAAGCTGTCTTGTCATGTAAATCGCAAGACTCCTGCCGACTCCGATCCTGCCCGGGCACTCCAGAGTAGGCGGAGATGAGAGCTTCGATGGTGCTGAGCAGCCGCTGGCAAATGAGAAGCGAGAGAGAATGGCGATTATTTGCGCTAGTTTCTCAACGCGCTGCCGGCCCGATGTTGACCCACTTTCTTCATGTCAACATCCATCCGCAAACGAAAGCCTTCGCAACCGGACATTCCAGGTGTAGCGACTACCTCTAAAACTTCGAGAACAGTTAGCTGGCATGATCTCCCTGATTGGCAAAAGGACAATGAGTACATTGTGTTTGGCTACCGGCAGTACGGATACCCTGAATTCACAAACGCTGGACCTCAGAATAATTGACTTTCGTCGTACGCATAGGATTCAGAACCATTGGAGGGGCTGCTTCACTTCAGTCTTTGCGTGTAATTTTTCCTTCTATGAGCGCAGGTCCTGTATTGATTTCCTGTCTTGGTAGACCTGCATAACGAGACAAGTAATATTTATTGTTATCCGAAGCCACTGCACATCTCACAATTTTTCCAGTCAACATCCACAGCCATCTATGGGGGGCCGTGTTATTCACATATTTCCTGGTTACTTTCGACGAGAGTCATTTAAAACAACATGCAGGTACAACATGGGCTGATTCGGCCGTATTCGCGGTCTTCTTGTCCTCTGCGATATTCTGTCTTTCTGCTAGTGCTTTCTATCATACCGCTACATGTCACTCTAAAAGGTGCATCATTTCTAGTGATTTTTTTTGCCGCTCAACAAGGGCTTCAGGTTTCGGCGCGTTGTCATGCATTCGACTATTCAGGCATAGTTGTACTCATAGTCGGTCGGTCTTCACCATCTTCACTAATCCGAGAATTTTCTCGACCTCTCTTGCTAGGCTCATTTTATCCGGCTGTGTATTTTGGGTTCTTTTGCCAGTCTCGATTACAAGTTTTGTACATCACATTGATCACCTGCATGGGTCTCGGTAAGCCCGAACAGATCTCCGTATACTTCAATACAACTGATAGGAACACTAGGCGCTGCTTATATCGTTTTAAATCCAGAATACGCTAAACCAACTCACCGTGGGGCTCGTACTGGTGTCTTTATACGCTGGGTCTATCAGCAGTGGCGCCTATCTCACACAGTCTACTCATGAGGGGCGTCCACAAGGTTTCGGAACTAGGCTTCGGCTGGGTGGCGTTTTCCGGTGCTTTGTATATAGCGGGAGGTCTGCTCTAGTATGGTAGTCCTTTGGCATCTATGGGGACCG